ACTAAAGGTTAAACTTTATATTTTTATGCTGGTATAAGAAAGGCATCTGTTTCTCAGTGACAAATTCCACCTGTTTCCGATACCTTCTCTTCTCTGCCCTTCACTCACTCAGATGACTTCTGTTAGCCACAGAGAAAAAGGTGGAAAGAATATTAGTGTAACATATTGCCTACTATCCACATTGGGTAATATAAAGGTGAGTATAAATCACATCTTATTGGACACTGGTTTCATAATTCTTTGACAGGAATTTAGACTGCAAATATGTAATCAAATCATGAGAAAGAATTGAAACTTTAGTAAAATATACAACAAACGCTTGATTTTGTTCTATTTGTGACACTAGATTTCTGGATGTGTCAGCTCAACCCTGGATCCCATCCAAAAATGTTTACTTACTGAATTACCAAAATATGCTTCATGAAAGGGAATTTTAAGATAGCGTAGACCTTGAGAGCCTCATCATATCAGTGCCACCAATAAATCAATATGGCATAATTAGGCTATATTTCCTACTTATTACATCCTCAAATAATATGCTAGCTTTAAACAGAACCTAAATATCACATAAGTTATATTTTTAAAGCCAATGTGAAATAGAGGTTAAATGCTTTTCAAGAGAACTCTCACCATTGTTAGTTTCAGCCATACAGGCTCAAAAAACTACAAACTGCTAAAATTGTCCATTCCATATGAATCCCTAAGGCGATATGCAAAGATATTTTCTGGCCTGGACCTTGTGTGGCAGGACTGGGTGCCAGGTTTATTGGCTTGGCAACTCTCCTCTATGAGGAACTTAAAAAAATTACAGGAGGTAAATCCACACATGTAATTAATTGGATTATTAATGAAATGCTTTGTGGTTAGACTTCTATCAACAAACGGTATGGGATATAAAATCTAAAACTCCATGTGGAGTTCAATTCATATATCATAGTATAGGGTTAACCTGCGCACGATCATCACTCTTAAACAAACTACTCTGGGAATTTGTCATTAAATAAAGATAATTCATAAATTAAAACTGTTTATCAAACAAGTTATCTATTGTCAATATAATGTGTAGCCTCTTTAAATTCTTACATATTTCTAAATTATTGCTAAAGCTGTAGGGGGCCAAATGAGCTTCTAGTAGTAGGGTATAAGTCTCTATTTTTCTATACTGTGCTAATATATGTTCCATTATTTTCAATCCTGACCTCACAAATGTCAATAAACCCTGATAAGATGGAGTGCTAAAAGTCCCCAATGTTTTTTGGTCTTTCCTCCCTCTCTACAATTTTCTCTGCACATCAAGAAGACGTCAATGTTCTCACTCAGATAAAAATATTAAAACAGACAAGCCAAGTCTTTCTCACTCTGAAGTCTTTGAAATCTTCTAGTAGGCTCAGTTTCTCAGGCACAGACTCCAGATGCTCCAAGGCCACTCGGGTACTCTGGAAAAGAAAACATAAGGAAACCAAACATTATAAAAATTTTATGAATACTCTCAGAACCCAACTACTAAAAACCAGTTGGACCACTGGTATAAGTGGTTCAAGCTGTAGATTTAGAGAATCAAATAAGAACAGATATAATAGTATTTCTAAGATAAATACATCTCTTCAAATCAGAAGAATGATTTCCGTTTTATAAAGTATATGAGATGCACTTGCAAGACTGATTCAGATATGAAAATTCTTCCTGGATATACCTTCAGCTGATATCCTATGAAGCTTTCTATAGAGCACTTCATATTAATATTAATTTGCAAACCTGCTTCAGTGAACATCAGGAATAAACCACAAGGTGATACTGAGAAATAGATGAATTTGCAGTTACTTATCTATGAAGCATATTAAAGATCCACACATGTTGCCATTATAAAGATGAGTCCTCAACAATTGTTTTAGTTAAAAAGGAAAAGAGGAACAGTTTTCATAGACTTGAAATATCTGAAATTAAATATTTGTGACAGGAACACAAGATCCTGCTGATTATAAATCAATCACTTACAGTCTTTGATTAGCTGGTTACTGATTTACACCTACAGATATAAACATAAGAGGGAATGACCTGAAAATTATTTCACAGCCAATGAAAGACTTTAAATGGTAGAATAACCTGGAGACCAGGGAATGTATAATATGGATCTCTATATTCTTAGTACTGTCAAGGCGCCAGCACAGAATAGATACTAGGTTTTAAATTTAAAATGAATTAAAATTATTCAATGAAGTAAACAACAAGCCCCACGGATGGTGCATGAGAAGAAAGTGAAGTGCCTTTTGAGAACCTGGACACAAGTTTGCACAGGGTTGTCGAGAAGTTAACGGCCACCCGATGTTCCATGTGCTCTCCTATGCCTCCCATGTAAATGGTTCTGAACAATACACTGTGAGCGCAAATGACATGTGTCAGTTCTGGGCTGAGACAGTGAAAAGCCTGTGTGCTAGGCTCTTCCATCCTAGCCTCCGCCATGAGGAACTTGCAGGACGCATGTTGCAGATGGCGCAGATATAAGACAGAGGAGATCTGTCGACCATATTGGACTTCCTGTGAGTGAAACATCAACC